CTTGTTCCCACCTTCTACTAATCGTCCTTACTTGGGATTATAGTACCCCCCCCCCCCCTATTGCAATCTCTATTAAGAGGGCTCTTAGTATAAGGGGGAACATCCCAAGTTCTCATGAAGCAAACGAAGCGGCTACCGTTGTTCCTGGTACTCTCGAGGGGCTCAGGATTGGACCAACATTGCGGTTTTTAGGGTTTAGGGTTTAGGGTTAGGGTTTAGGGTTTAGGGTTTAGGGAAGCTTGGAGCCCGACAGGGAGGATGCACCCTAGAGACCCGAAGGGACTCCCCTAGAGGCCCTGACCCTTGCAGGGCTTTGGGGAATGCCACATTCAACCCTAAACCCTAAACCCTAAACCCCAATCCCTAATCCCTAAACCCTAAACCCTAACCCTAAACCCTAAACCCTAAACGCCACATGGGGCTTCGAAGCCAATGAGGATGTGAAGGACGGCGGCAAAGCCTTTGACTTCTTCCTGGCGGATTGCAAGGCCACCACGGTCGCCTGGGGATTTCGGGCCTTGAGGCTGTCCGAGGGTTTAGGGTTTAGGGTTTCGGGTTTGGGGTTAGTGTTTAGGCTTTAGGGTAAAAGGTCGCACCCTTATTCCCTTGTGTGGGGTGTTCGGCGCCGAAACTCTACCCCCTAGTCTTCTTGTCTGATCGGGCCCCCATCCACTACCCCACGCCCTACCAGGTGAAGCCTGTGACTCAAAAACTTCCATGAAGCTCGTTCTTTGAGCTCCAGAACTGGCTTTACCCTAAACCCTAAACCCTAAACCCTAAACCCTAAACTGCTTTTACATGTCACAGGAGCGCTGGAGCTGTTTTGTCTGGTCGCAGATATTTTTTTGCTGGGGGTTTTCAGCTTTTGGGTCAGCCGGAGGTTGTGGGTTTAGAGTGGTGGGGAAGCTAAGTCCTAAACCCTAAACCCTAAACCCTAAACCCTAAACCCTAAACCCTAAACCCTAAACCCTAAACCCTAAACCCTAAACCCTAAACCCTAAACCCTAAACCCTAAACCCTAAACCCTAAACCCTAGCTCTGGATCAGGTCATGTATCAGATGTGGCCGCGCGGATGCGGTTATTCGCTTGGGGAGTACATGTTGGGCTCAGGGTTCCGTACCCGCGGCTTCTTGTTGCTTTCGGATTTAGGGTTTAGGGTGTAGGTTTAGGGTTTCGGGTTTAGGGTTTAGGGGACACTTTTCTAGAAACAAAAGACAGAGAGCTCTACTTCGGGTTTAGCGTTTAGGGTTTCTTTTCAAAAGAAACAAAACACATCAACCCTTCGAGCCCCTCTGTGGTTTTAGATGCTGTCGAAGACCTGCTGCTCTGCTCTGGGGGGGCCAATGTTAACCCAATCAAGCGCCCTATCCTACCCTCAGCCCGGTATCGGACGGAGTGCGTGCGCCTCAACCCTAAACCCTAAACCCTAAACCCTAAACCCTAAACCCTAAACCCCAAACCCTAAACCCTAAACCCTTTTAAACTTTCGGGAAGCCGCAGTTCAGAAGATGCCTTCGGGGTTATGGGGTTCCAGTATTTTAGTGCACGGGGCCATGTTTCTCCCTGGAACCTATGCAGAGCGCCGGCACCCGACTTCAACACACCCCTCCTTATAGGGTTCTTTACGGGAGGGGGGGTTCAAGAGGGGTATGTAACCCAAGGTTCCCTAATACTCCCAGTACTCCCTAAGGCTCCCTAAGCTTCCCGAAGGTTCTCTAGGTACCTACCACCCTTGAACACCCCTCCCTTAAGAACCCGATAGCCTCCACATGTCTCCAGCAAAGATTAAGCCAAGGCGGCCTACGAGGCTCCTAATCCCCGGGCCCTGAACCCTGTCTAGGACCTGGAGTAGCCCTTTTTGTTTCCCTTTATTGGGTTTAGGTTCCCTTATGAGCCCCTTTAACCAAAAAAAGGGCACCCTGTTTATTCCTAGGCTACTCTTGGGTCTAGCCACCCTAAACCCTAAACCCTAAACCCTAAACCCTAAACCCTAAACCCTAAACCCTAAACCCTAAACCCTAAACCCTAAACCCTAAACCCTAAACCCTAAACCCTAAACCCTAAACCCTAAACCCTAAACCCTAAACCCTAAACCTACCCCGAAAAAATGGATGCCAAGGGAGCTGTGGAAGGACGCCAAAGGGCGGCAGAGGAACTTCTACGCAATCAAGCCGAGCTCAGTCTTCCACCTCTTGGAGCGGGTCCGGATCTCAGGGCCGAAACCCGAAACCCGAAACCCGAAACCCGAAACCCGAAACCCTAAACCCTAAACCCTAAACCCTAAACCCTACACCCTAAACCCTAAACCCTAAACCCTAAACGCTAAACCCTAAACCCTAAACCCTAAACCCTAAACCCTAAACCTTAAACCCTAAACCCTAAACCCTAAACCCTAAACCCTAAACCCTAAACCCCAAACCCTAAACCCTAAACCCCAACCCTCTTGAAAAAGCAACCAAGGAAGCCCAGGGTTGAAGGTTGGGTTTCTCCCTCGGAGGTCCGGGTTCCTTTGTTGGGATTTTTTTGTTTAGGTTCGCTTTTTCCCACCTTTTAAACCACAAAGGGGTTTAGTGGTTTTTAGGGGTTTTTAGGGGTTTTTAGGGTTTTTTAGGGGTTTAGGGGTTTAGGGGTTCAGGGGTTTAGGGGTTTAGGGGTTTAGGTGTTTAGGGGTTTAGGGTTAGGGTTTAGGGTTTAGGGTTTAGGTTTCCTTATTAACCCCTTTTTGCGCTGTGTCGCGTGTGGCAGGCTTAGGGTGCACAGGTTATAACCTTGATGGGTCTCCATTCTCCATTTGGCTCAAGGCCCGAGGAAGTGCATCCGGGGCCCGCGTGAGCGGGGTGGAGTTCTTTTTCCGCCATGTCATGCTATCTGCTGTCGAGAGACAGGCGAGTCTTCTGGGCACATTGGCAGAACTGACCCCGTGGTTGCATGCTCAAAAGGCGCCCCAGCGTGTCATCGATCATTTGTCTGAGTTAGGGCTGGAAACTCGAGCAGACCTGGCGACATATTATGTCTTGGCACCAGAGGATGCAGAGTTATGCCGCTTGTGGCGATTGGCTCGCGATGAGCCATTTCTCGATGTGGCAGCTGTCGTTGAGGTAGCCCGTACGCCCAAACGAACCATCCCCCCAAGTCCGGGATTGTACAAAGGAAGCTTGGTCCTTAGAAGGCCATTTTGCAGAGGCGTGTCCAAAGCAGAAGTTCCGCGGTCTATGCAAGAGACCGATTTGCAGAAGAGACCGCTTGCGCAAGAGCTTGTGAACATCTCCTGGACCTGGGCACCGGAAGCGGGAGTCGCCTCGGGCTTGTCATCGGACCTGGCTGGCCTGGCTATGCGTCGTAAAGAAATATGTGTCACGCGTTTGTTGCACTTCGATGCAGGTTGGCTAAAAGCTGGTCTGCGGACGTGGCAGTCGCTGGAGCTTTGGATGACCCAGCTGCAAGTCACCAGGGCACATTGGCCATTGCCTGCAGCGTGCATTGAAGATTTCATGGATAGAATGTTGGAGCAGTCTGGGGGCGCGTCGGCGAAGAACTTGTTTGCAAGGCTGAAATGGCTGGTGGTGCATTTGCAAGCCCCGCTCAAGCTAGAACACGTCTGCGTGCCAGCTGGGGGCAAGAGTTGCAGACAGCCGAGCCAACAAGCTGTTGTTGCAGAGCCTTGCATGATACGTGCTATATGGGACGCCTTCCGCGAGGATGTTCAGTTGGCAAGTTGGCGGAGGGTGCTTACAGCTGTTGCCGTGTGCGCTTCAGTGAAACCTCTGCGCTTTGCGCACGCGCTTCGGTCCAGACCCGTGGCCCGCACGAAGTGGTGGGCAGCATTTTGGGCCTACCAAGGCAAAGTGCGCACGGATGGTGTGGTCCGGGGAGGTTTCCGCTGGTTTGTGCCTTTGGTTACACCAACTCTGCGCCAAGCAGTGGATGTGCTGTGGACGACGTGGGCCCAGATCTGGCAATCGGAGCGTCGACAACAACATCCGTCTCAGTGCATGGTTGTGGATGCGCAATCGCTGCTGCCTGTCAAAGCTGCAGTTTTCAACCGTGTGCTGCAAGAGTGCGTGGCGCCGGTGATGAAGGATGCAAATGTCCATCGGTGCACGTCATATTCTTTGCGGAGGTTCCAGCCTACGTTGCTAGATGTTCGTGCGGCTGACATGCCTGAGCGGATGGCATTAGGAAACTGGACCAGTAAAGAAGGCAGGGCAGACAAAGTCATGCCTCTGCGCTACTCTGGCGCGAAGGTCCAGGCAGAGCTCCAAGTCGGCGTCGTGCAGGCCCTGTGCACTGCTTCCATGGTGCAGCGTTGCGCGACCTGGGAAGATTGCCGCCTTTGGTGGTTGAGCGAGGGTGCCGCAAACGAGAAGCAATGGAGGCAGCGATTCGCCGACCTCCTGCAGGATTCGGACATTGAGTGGGCTGCAGGGTCGGACTTCATTGCTGGCCATGTTTGTGAGCCGAGATTTTGTGTAGCAGGTCATGCTGAGCTTGCAGCGAAGCCCGCAGTAGATTCGCTGTCGGTTGGCTGTGTCAGCTGGATCACGTCTAGTCGCTCTGCAGCATTGCTTCATATGAACTTTGAGGGTAGGCCGCGATGTACGTGGAAGCAACGACAGCGCCGTGCTAAGTTCAAGCGCGAGCCTGTTGTTTTAGAAAACTTGCTCGAGGCGGTAGCAACGGGCCGGGCATTCTGCAAAAGTTGCCTGACGTGGCTGAGTTTGCCGCAGTTGAGGGAGCTGGAGAAGCTGGACCCCTCAGCAGTGCGCAGATGACCAAGGGGCTAGAGGCGGGGGGCGCAACCTCGTTCGTCTGCTCCTGCAAAGCAATAAAACAGCCGCACGCTTAGATTCTCGTGTCTTTTTTTAGCAGTCTGCCAATTACGGGTCTTCCGTGCTTGCCACAGCGAAGACACATCAGCGTCAGACTCATGCTGGAAATTGAGATTTTGCTCATTTTTCCGTAGACAAGTAGCTTGGGCTGAGAACTAAAGCCCATAGCCATGGGTGCCACACCTCTTGCAATAGGGGGCGTGCTCTTAGTGGGCCTCCAGGAGGTCTCTGAGGAAGATGCAAAGGCCACGTTCAAGAAGCTCTGCGCCAGCTTTCGCATCAGTGAAAATGTGGGGGACTGGCTGGTTGAGACAGTGGGCTTGCGAACTCTTGAAGACTATTCGGCCTTCATTACGTCTGAAGCAGAAATTGAGGCGAAGATCACATCTAAGATCGCCAACCTTGCGCAGTCTGGGTTGCAAGCAGCCCGGCTTCGCCAGGCATGGTTGGCCATACGCGTGGCCGGCACACAGGCACAGGAGGCGAAGAAGCGCGGTGACGAGTCTCTGGACTTGGAAGCTTTGTTGCCGTTGCATGACCTCAAGCAGCTAGATGCCTTATTTCACCAGAGGTACAAGTTGCAGCTGGAGGTTCAGGTAGCTCCGTCCGATGCCCTAGTGTCTAGCCTGGCCAAGCAGCTGGATAGGCGCATGTTGCAGGTCCAATCTGTTTTCAAGGTGAAGACACTTCGGCACAGTTTGTTGACTACTCGCAAGAGACGCAAGCTTGGGTCCATTGAGATTGTGGACGCCGAAGAGGCCATCGACGAACCCATCTCAGAGAATGTGAGCAATTATTTGGAACTTTTGCAAGTTTTGCTGTATGGATTGGCGAAGGCAGGAGTGAGGCCGCTCGAGAAGCAGCCCGCGGAGCCGGAGGGCCCCAACACCCGGTCCACTGCGTATGTGCAAGTGCCGCTGGATGTCGTGTTGCGATACCATCGTAGAGCAGCAAGGTGTGTCAAGTTGGCGCCCCCCAGCGCGGCTTTGACGTGGCTGCAGCAGCGAGATGAGCGTGAGAGGCAGCTGTGGGTTGAGAGGTTCCGTTTCAGCAACCTTCCCCTAGGACAAATCATTGAGCAGACGATGCTGGAGCTTGATCATGCTTGGGAGATAGTGCCGAGCGACGACTTATCTGCGACATCAGCAAATGAGAAGTCAGAGAAGACGCCGAAGTCACCCAGCAAGATTGGCAAGCTCGCAGCAAAGCTCAAAGATGGCACGCGTCTGTGCTCAGACTGGAACCAGGGTGGCTGCGCTGAGAGATGCCTGCTCATACATCATCAAAGAAAATGGCAGGGTCTGTGGAATGCGAAGTCACCGAGCATGCAATCACAAGTCCAAGTCGGCCTCGTGATGGGGCCCGCTTGCAAATGTTGAGGCGTTTGCGAGTGGGCAGCCTGAGCCTCACCTTTTCCTGGCCAGCGGGTCTGTGTCGAGGGACATGGCTGCAGCAGAGGGACAGGTGCGGGTCTCGGTGTCGCCGAGACGCGCTTCTTCCATCAGGAGCCACGAGGGAAGTGCTAAGGCACCAGCAATACCTGCCGCTATGTCCTACACCCTTAGCCAGCATCACATCAATCAATTCGTCCGCAATTTGTTTCCGCATGAGTGGTTGCATGGTTTTGCATTGCCGTGCTTAGAGGACTTGCTCAATCAGAGCCCATTTCTGTTGTGGAGGACCTGGGCAGAGGGGCGTGAGGGCAATCCAGATGTGCATTATGCTGCGAGTGTAGGGGCGCATGGGGTTGCGCTGGGCCTGCAAACCAGAGTGGGTCAAGCCAAAGGGGCCATGCCTAGTATGCTGCCTGTTTGTGGTGCAGCTCCTGAGATGTTCGAGGCGTGCAAAACCATTGCAGGTTCGGGGTCGCTGCCATTCGATGATACCAGCATTGATGACGACTTGCAATTTGCTGTTGAGTGGACAGTCAGAAACATGACGTGCCTACGTAGCAGCAGAAATGAGTTCGGCAAGGCTTTCATGGAATTGATAAAGCGGTGCGTCCCGCTCACTAGGCGTTTGCGCCAGTTTCAGCCTCGTCACGCGAGGTCATTACCTAGTGTCCAACTAGGGGTCCTGCCGTATTTACTGCTCATCATGCAGTGGAAAGATACCCAGCTCGCGCAAGATATGGTGACTGGTTTTAGTCTGCTGGGGGAGTTACCACTCACGGGGGTCTTTCAACCCGTGCAGGAGGGCGATCCTGCGCTTACCAGAGAGCAACTCTGGGGTCAAGCGCTGGAGGTCCGCGAGTGGTTTCAGGCCCAGCCCTTGGATGAACATGCTGACTTTGTTTGGGAGAGTTGCGCGCAAGAAATTCAGAATGGCTGGGCTTGTGGCTTCTTGCGCAAAGAGGAAGTGGACTCCACATTTCCGGAGGGCTGGGCTGGAGTTCCTACGTTTGCTCACGTGCAGCCATCTGGCAAGTTGCGTCGTATTGACAATGCCAGGAGGGGTTTGCAAAACTCGGCCTTGAGATATGTGGAACGGATGCGTATGTGCACAGCTTTTCAGCCAGCTGCGGTTGCCAAGGCAGTTGCGGCAGAAGCGCTGCAACAAGGCGTCTCCAGGCACACTTTGAGCGAGCATTCGCTAGAGTCAGGAGGCGAGGATATATCGGACGCGTATCGTATGCTCCCCGTTCAGCTGCAGGATTTGCCAGCTAATGTGGTTATGGTAAAAAATCCTACATCTGGGGAGGTACAATTCGTCATTATGAGTGCGCTCCTTTTTGGGTTCAGTGCAAGCGTCATGCAATTTGCAAGATGGAGTCGTTTTTTGGAAGCAATGACTCGCAGAGTTCTATGCTTGATGTGGGCTCTGTATGTGGACGATTCCAACGTAGTTGATTTTGCTATTGGCAAAGGCTCTGCGCAGTGGCTTGGCAGGCAGATGCTGCTGGCTTTGGGAGTCCCTTTGGCTGAGCACAAGCGTTTGTTGATGTCACCCTCAAGTATTTTTTTGGGAATGCAGCATGACCTCGGGAGGGCCTTATCCCAGGGGACTTGTCTTTTCACTGCCAAAGACTCTGTAAGGGACAAGCTGCGGACGTTGATTGGCGCATGCAAGAAGCAAACCACGCCAGCTCAGGCTAGCAAGATTAGGGGCGTGGCTGGGTTTACTGCTCTAGCCATGTACGGCCGGATTGGGCGGGTGGCCATGGGACCGTTGAAACAGCGACAGTACACAGACCATTTTCCCTGGAACAATTCGCTGTCTTTGGACTATGCGTTTGAGTTTTTGCTATTTTTGCTCGACATATTGATTCCGCGAGAAGTCCACATCATGCCTCGATATGATAAGGTTCTTCTGGTGGCAACTGATGCGCAAGCTGATTCAGCGCCAACTGTGGAGGGGCTATCATTTGGGATGAAGATAACTCGTGGTGCGGTTTCACAAGGTTCGCGCGCCTCTTGCGTGCTTGGGGATATGAGGCTGAGGCATCTTGCATTGCTGTGTGCGAGGGAGCCATGGTCCCCATCACGTTGTTAGCGCGCTCTCACATGTTTAGACATAGGCGCGTTCTGTGGCTCTTGGACAATACGTCAAGCCTTCACGCGTTGGTGAAAGGCACGTCCGGCAACACAGTGCAAGCTCGGACAGTGGCTCTATTTCACTTGTTGGCCTACGGGCTCAGATGTCAGGTGTACTTTGAGTATGTACAGTCGAAACTCAATTTTTCAGATGACATTTCACGGACGCTGGAGCAAAGCGCCTGGTCAGCGAAGGCTACTGGGCGAACACCCCAGGAAGTAGATCTAAACTCCATGGCTTCATTGTGGCAGTTGCCTCTGCCCGAGCTTTGGAGAGAGTTGGAGCAGCGTTGGATGAAGTGAGAAAAGTTCGGAGCTGCGTTGGGTTGGAGAGGACCCTGTGTGTTCAATTGGCAGCATTGGCTGCCTGAACCGGTAAGATGTAGCATGCCATCCAACGCTTTAGTATGCAGATCTGCCGGGGAGGGACCATCTGTATTTGCAGATATGCATCGAGAAATCAAAGGGGGGCACGAGTTTACTGAGCTCTAAGTGTGAGTGACGCTGTGGCCTCAGATTGGATGGGAGCACCCTTTAGGTTATTGCGCTGTGTCGCGTGTGGCAGGCTTAGGGTGCACAGGTTATAACCTTGATGGGTCTCCATTCTCCACCCCGTTGAATGTTTAGGCCCGAGGAAGTGCATCCGGGGCCCGCGTGAGCGGGGTGGAGTTCTTTTTCCCCTCCCTCCCTGCCCTGCTTACCCCGGTGGGGTATGAAAGGGGTCATGGAACAGAGGAAGGCTACGAAGGGTTGGAGAGGACCCTGTGTGTTCAATTGGCAGCATTGGCTGCCTGAACCGGTAAGATGTAGCATGCCATCCAACGCTTTAGTATGCAGATCTGCCGGGGAGGGACCATCTGTATTTGCAGATATGCATCGAGAAATCAAAGGGGGGCACGAGTTTACTGAGCTCTAAGTGTGAGTGACGCTGTGGCCTCAGATTGGATGGGAGCACCCTTTAGGTTATTAAACCAAAAAGTGCACCCATTTTCTTCCTAGGTTCGTCTTGGGTTTTGGTTTTAGGGTATATTGAGGGCGTTTGAGTTTGAAAGGGTTTTAGGGCTTTGGGCTTTAGGGTGTTTAGCGTTAACCTGGCTGCAAACAAGAATGGTTTAAGGGCATGCGGAAGACCCATGCAGAGCACGCGCGCGCGCAGGAAAAAAAGGGCAAGTACCTCACCACCCCCAGAATAATAGGTAGTTGGGCATCCAAGACCAATGATACAATATAGTAACTTTGGAGTATGGTGATATAGTACTACATTACGATAATCACACGATAGTATGACTGTAGCATAACAAGAATGCAATACTAAAACTGAGCCTAGCCCTGCAGCCCCCAGAGGCCTTGAAGTTTCATTTGCACTTTTAGTGTGCTCATTTGCCCTTTACCCTAGACCCTAAACCCGAAGCCCAGTTTGAATTCCCTAGGTTGGGGGGAGGCTTAAGGTTGGGACTTTTGTTCGGATCACTCCTGGGAAAAGGCGGCCTGGTGTTGTGGGCTTGGGGTTCAACGTTTAGGGTTTAGGGCTTAGGGTATAGGGTATAGGGTATAGGGTTTAGGGAAGGTAAGTGGAAAGCCAGCAGCATACAATCTTCCCCAACTTGGAACTGCGCTGTGTTTGGTGGGCTTCGGATAGGACTACCATTTAGGGCTTTCGGACTTCGAAACTGAGTAAGGGCTTAGGGCTCCGAATGGAAGAGCTCCTGGTGCTCCTCAGGTCGTTGTGTGGGCATCCGTGTTGCTAACGCAGTTCAACAACACCCTCCTGTCACGCTCTCAGCTATCACTACCACTGCTCGGAGCAAAACGCTCGAACTCAAGGAAGATCATGTGTATCACCATAATGTTGTGTATTGCCATGCTATATACTACAAAACATTAGATCGGAACCATCAGAAATAATTCATTGTATTGTTCTAGCAAAAGCTGTTACCTATCCAGGGCGCTGTTGAGAAGTCTCCTTTGAGGGCCCACTGAGGGATGAGTGCAGCTTCTCTCCGTGCGTGCCTTCTGGTTTAGGGTTTAGAGGCTTAGGGTTTAGGGTTTAGGGTTAGGGTGTAGGGTTTAGGGTTTAGGGTTTAGGGTTTAGGGTGTAGGGTTTAGGGTCTAGGGTCTAGGGTTTAGGGCTGAAGTGTCCAAAGGGTACTTTGTGCAAAGAAAGGCTCAGGGATTCTGAACTTTGCAAGCCCGAAACTCTACAGTTTGCAAACCCTGCGCTTGTCTTCTCTTGTTGGATCTCAACTCTAAACCCTAAACCCTAAACCCTAAACCCTAAACCCCTAAACCCCTAAACCCCTAAAAATTGAAGTTTGGAGTTCAAGGTTCAAGTTTAGCGTCAGCTCCTTGAGCTTTGTGGTACTGAACGTTCAGGGTACGGAGTATGCTTTAAGTGGGGCTGACTGGGTTGGCTTAAGTGGCTTCAGTTCCCAAGTATTCGGATCTTCGCAAACGAACAGCCAACCTCCTGTGAGAGATGATGTGTGCTAGATTTGGCGCATTGTAGATGAGGCCCTTGAGAACCCCACGCCCAATAAGTGCCCCTATTCTAGGACCCCATCAAGCGACCACAGCTGCCCTTGTATAGCATAGGCTCTGTAAGCCCTTTACTTAGGCCTTTAGCCCTCTAAGCCCAGATCCCTAAACCCCAAACCCCAAAAACAACCCCAAACCCCAAACCCCAAACCCCAAACCCCAAACCCCAAACCCCAAACCCCAAACCCCAAACCCCAAACCCCAAACCCCAAACCCCAAACCCCAAACCCCAAACCCCAAACCCCAAACCCCAAACCCCAAACCCTAAAAACCCTAAACCCTAACCCTAAACCCTAAACCTGCACAGCCCCTCCCTCACACAACCGTAGCTCCCTCCGATACAAAGGCTTCTTATCTTGTCAAGCCAAGGCCTCAGAGTTACCTCCATGTGGCGGCCTTACCTTTGAGTGTTTAGGGTTTAGGGTTTAGGGTTTAGGGTTTAGGGAGGGTCAGGGTTGATGGGGTCTGGGGCTCCTCTCCCTGTGTGGGGGGGGGGGGGGGGGTTGTGTTGCGTTCTGCAAGTGTGGGTATTTCCCTCGCCCGAAACTCTAACCCTGAGCTTTCAACCCCAAGACATCCGCTAGCGCCCAGTGAGAGGTGCCCAGTGGTACCCTGATCATCGCCTTGCTTACGCTTTAAGCCTTGCAAGTTTAAAGTTTAGGGCTTAGGGTTTGAGGTTTAGGGTTTAGGGTTTAGCCGCATCAGGCAAAAAAAATCTCTGCCCTTCCTTGACTGCTGTGGAACTTCGTCCAAGAGAGTCCAAGAGCTGTCAGACTGAGGGTTTAGGGTTCAGGGTTCAGGGTTTGGGGTTTAGGGTTTAGGGTTTAGGGTTTAGGGTTTAGGGTCCCCAACGCAGCCCAGGCTCATCTCACGGGGGCGGAGGAGCTGCTGCATCTGGGCAAAAATCGGGCCCAAACCGAAACCCTGAACCCAAAACCCGGCAGTCCATCGCCAGGGCAGAGTGGGGTGGGGGTGGCCTAGGCCTTGAGCAGTACACCTAGTACAGTTGCCTGAAAAATCTTTTGGGGCTCACACTACGAGAATGATTATTGCAGGTCTTTGTGGGCATTTTTGGGCTCTAAGCCGTGACACGCTGTTGGCCTTGTTTAAAGTCCTGCACAACACCTGACAAGTTTAGGGTCGGGTTTAGGGTTTAGGGTCTAGGGTTTAGGGTTTAGGGGTTAGGGGTTAGGTGGTTGGGGACTACATGTTCCAGAATGTCCAGAAGTGACTCCAGATCTATAGGGTGAGCCACGAGCTGTCAGCGCGGCAAGCAGATTGGTTGAACGTCAAGATAGGCCATTCCCCCGTTTTATCCTTCAATCAACCTATGAGCCCATCCTGGATCACGAGTTGCAAGGGTCTGCAAAATATCCAGCAGGGTGAAGCTTAAGCGAAACCAGTAGAGAATCATGAGAACAGTCTCGTGCCCAAATCACGTAGGGGCCTTCATCAGAACCAAAAGGGTTTTGGGGGGTTCATTATACTTATGGAGGGACCATAAGGAAATACGATTAATACGAATAGTAAGTAGTCCGACCCCTAAGCTACGCTGCGGGTGTGTGTTTGCTCGCAAAAGTCCACCTGACAGGCAAGATGTGGCCACGGTTGGAGCAGATGTCGCATGGTGACATTTGTTGGCTTTGGATCCCGAAACTTTCAAGCCCCAAACCCTAAAACCTAAGCCCTAGACCCTATACTCTAAACCCCAACCCCTAAACCCTTAACCCTACACCCTAAGGGGTGGATTCGGGATCCACCTTGGAGCCCGTGCTTCGGGGTTAGAGCTTTTAGTGTGTTTAGGGTTTAGGGTCTAGGGTTCAGGGTTCAGGGTTCAGGGTTTAGGGTTTAGGGTTTAGGGAACCCTTGGAGCTCCAGTTGTACCCTTTTGCCCATTTCTGGTTGGCTCTAAGGGTATCAGGTACGTTTATTGCAAGGATGGGCTATTCGGCCCTATTGTCCCCATAAACAACCCTTTTAAGAGGGCCTTTTCAGGGGTTATAGGGTATAATTTAATAGCCCGCCCTGGTACAATGTGGCTACTGGGCTGCCAAGTTATTGTGGCTTGCAGCATTCGCAGCCAGGCTTGTTCCGTGTCTGCAGCGGCTACACAATTCCAGAGGGAATGATGAATGGCCCAATTGTCTGCTAAGCTTGTTTCCGGGTGCTGGGTGAAGCGATTTTGCCCGTGACCTGTCTCCCTAAACCCTAAACCCTATTCATGAATCACCTGCAAACAACGAGTGGAGTAGTCACCCCAGGATCGACAGAAAAGGATTCAGTCGGCTAGGGCAATGCCGATGTTTGTTTGGAGTGTGCAATGCGTGCACGTTGGGCATAGGGTTTAGGTTTAGGTGTGGCGTTAAACCCTAAGCCCTAAACCCTAAGCCATTTTAAGCTTTTGTCTCGACCTCCATCAGCTTGAAGACCTGAGATCTGTTTCCCGAACTCTCTCTCTCTCCGTTTTTCCAGGATGCCCGGCAGTAGTTCCCTTATTCCTTTTTTTTTTTTGTTGGGGGGGGGGGGTTAAATTCCCTTTATGATCCCCTTTAAGCCTTTAAACAACAAAAGGGTTTGCCACCCGTTCTTTTTCCCCCACCCGTTCTGGGGGGGGGGGGGGGGGGTAAGATGGACACTTAAAGGCTATGCTGCACGTGCGTGCCTTGTAAACAAATACTTTACAAAGGAAACACCCGCAGAATAGACGCAATGCACCCGCAGAATAGACGCAATGCACCCTTAGCATCAGCACACTGTGTCCTGGCGCGGAGGGCGCGGAGGGCGCGGAGGGCGCGGAGGGCGCGGGGGGGGGGGGGGGCAACCCCTACATTCTAAGGGAGGTGACATGGTCCCTTACCTTCCTTGAAGGGTTCTGAAGTACGGGCCCTTGGGTTGCATAGGGCATGTAGAAGGGTTCCCCGATGAAGGGGCCCATATTAAGGGAACATGCAACCACCCTAAGGATTTTGTTTTTTCACTTTCTTGCCCTGAAGAGGACCATGTGTAGGAAATTTCAAGCCCCAACTCCTGGGGCCTCGGCCATGTGAAGCCCAAAGCTGCGATCCTCAAGTAGCTCGGTTTAGGGTGTAGGGCTTAGAGTTTAGGGCTTAGGGTTTAGGGTGTCCGACGGGTTTTAGAAATGACGGCAAAGTCCAGGGTTTCTGTCGAGTTGAGGGCTTAGGGTGTTCCCCCTTATTCTACTAGCAGTCCTTAATAGGGATTGTAGTACCCCCTATTATAATGTACACGCATCCCAAGCTTAGGGTTCAGTGTCTCGGACGTAGGGCCACGAAGGTCTCGTCGGAGTGGCGCGATGCGGCGATGACCGCCTTGCGCTACGTTGCGCCCCGGGCGCCAGTCAGGGTGTAGAGTGTTTAGGGTCGAGGGTCTAGGGATTGTTCCCTAAACCCGAAACCCGAAACCCGAAACCCGAAACCCGAAACCCGAAACCCTAAACCCTAAACCCTAAACCCTAAACCCTAAACCCTAAACCCTAAACCCTAAACCCTAAACCCTAAACCCTAAACCCTAAACCCTAAACCCTAAACCCTAACCCTAAACCCTAAACCCTTTATAAACAGATGTGGTTTTGTTTTTTGGGGGTTTGGTGTTGGGTTCAGGTTTTCTCGGCTAATGCCTTACGATTGTAAAGTTCGTTTCTGGCAGGCTAAGGTGCTGCAGGCTTAGGGTCTAGGATTTGGAGCCCGGTGGGTTAGGGTTTATAGGGTTTAGGGTTTAGGGTGATGTTCGGAGATGAATCTGGCTGGTCCTCAAGCCCAGTTGCAAAAGGGTTTAGGGTTTAGGGTTTCAAGCTTGGGATGTTCCCCCTTACACAATCAGCTCCATAGTAGGGTTTTCGTACCCCCTATTAGAATCCCTATTGAGGACTGTTAGTGCAAGGGGGAACATCCCAGGTTTAGGGGTTTCGGGTTTAGGGTTTAGGGTTTAGGGTTTACGGTTTAGGGTTTAGGGTTTCAAAGGTGTGGTTGAAGGGCAGGATGTGGGGCCTTCGGACTGTGTCCCGTGCTGCCTAGAATCTCAGAAGCTGCCCCAACATCCCTGTTGGGTGCTGTCTTCGACCTCTTCTGGGCGATTAGGGTTTAGGGTTTAGGGTTTAGGGTGAACTTTGAAGAATGATTCCTGGACCAGCTGAGGTGGAATTTGTGGTGGACTTCCTCTACTGGGACCACAGCCTCTACGAATGGCTGGACAAGACGAAGGATTGGACGGGAGCAGCACGCCTTTCCCTGTACTTTCGGGACGAAGAAGTATGAAAGTACTAGAATCCGGAAGGATGCAAGAGCAAAACTCCTGGAAGTATACTGTACTATAATAGGATTTACCATCAAACCAGAGGGTTTGGGGGTTAGGGTCGAGGATCACGATGCCCAAACACAAAATTCAATCTGTGCCGCTGTGGCTGGGCGCGTGGCAAAGAAGCCCTAAAAACCAGAGCGTCCATATAGCAATCGCTGTAAAGCCTGCATGGCTGAGCCCTCCACCTTCTGAAGTTCAAGGTTCTGTGGCTTGGGTCAAAGCCAACTTGGTCTATAGGATGATCAAGCGCCTCCGAAAACGTCAGCCTCTTGATGACAAAGTCTCCAAAGCTTGCAACGGAATGGAGTTTTTGAAGCGTTCAGGACCAGAGGTTGAATGGAAATCCTAAACCCTCAACCCTAGAACCTTTTGAGGTCTGAGCGCAATCGACTTTTTACCGGCCTATTATTGTATGGGCGTTAGGAGTCTGCGGTCTTTGGGTTCGCCATTAACTCAGCAGCCGTTGGCAGAGGCCTCCTATGGAGAGTTCGTTCTGCGTCTCTACGTGCTCGTGCTGGCTGCCAGCGCGAACGATAAGGAAGTGGGGGCTCTCAGATTTAGACCTTTAGCAGGGATGCACGCAGAGGGAACCAGGTCTTTTCTTATAGCTTCCACGAAGTTGGGGACTTGGGGTTTTGTGGTCTGCGCGGCTGCACAATGCCAAGAAACGTGAAATCTGCTCCGCCTCACTTGATTCACATCTCTTCGCTGGCCTGCCAGCGCTATGAAGCTTATGAACCCTAAACCCTAAACCCTAAACACCCCGACCCAGCAACTGGACATGACGGCGCTGCTCTGATCCATGTTGTTTTGCCGGCCTGCCTTGGCGCTCGCCCTAGGTAGGACGGGGTGTGTTGTGTGCACAGCACGGATCATGCAACGATCGGCCTGGAATTGCATATCTCGCGTGCAGGTCGTAAGGACATAGTTCATGTGATGAAGCAGGGTAGAACAATACTCCGCAAGTCCCACAGCGCAAAAAAATCATACACCAGCAGCCGGCTTCTAACCGTAGGCTCACTACGTAGAGCAGCCGAGAACTCGGCAGAGTCCAGCTGTCATGCCGATCGCCACACGGGACAGGTGAGGACGCGCATCCCTACATCTTCAATGATGCACAAGGGAAGGTGCTCGGCTGCGGCATGTGGGGGGCTGCTGAGCAGCACTTGCAGAAGACGGCCTACGGTGCAGGACGCTACTGGGGCGACTCGGGACTGTCAGATGATGGAGAAGGTAGCCCTCCGCAGGAGGAATCGGATGACTGCGGAGACCTGGAAGACCAGGAGATGGCGAGCATCCGTGCCTACCTCATGGAGGGATACTTGGAGGAGGGTCGACGCAGGCTGGGCGAGCACCTTTCAGATACAGAGCTGTTGGATGGGAGCGCCCTAGCTCGGCTTTCTGCGTCTTCTTTCTCTTCCTGCAGCGAGCCGTCCTTTGCCCAACCTCATGCACCCGGACATTTGCCTCTCGGTGCAGCTCATGCAGGAACAGCACTGCCAGGACTTGTGCGGCCTCCCGTTCTGGGGAAGTTTGTGAACACCTCGGACAAAGTCAGTCTGAGACTGAACAAAGATCTGGCAGCTACCTGGGCTTCAGTTTAGCTTCAGCATTGTCGTTTGTTCGAATTCTTCGGGTCAGCAGTCGAGCTTACCAAATGAGTAGTAGCTTGTCTTCGCATTGGCATTCGCATGCCCAGCAGTTCAGGCGAAATGGACAGCCCGTGAGGTCCTCCAGATGACGCGAACGCATTTGTGCCAATTCGATCCGGTGAACGCCATCATGGCCTTGCACAGGGTCCCTGGATGCCCCTTTTTGTAGTAAGACTTTCGAGGCGTTTCTCTCGTTGTCTGCTTTCAAGCCCTGTCTCCCCAATCCCCAATTCCCCAAGCCCTAAACCGCGTGGGCCTCACAGTCCTTTGTCTTCCTCAAGTGGGAGGGTTTTCCGAAGTCAGGGGCACCTTACTGGGGTCCTTATTGTAGAAAGGAGTCCTACTCTTTGGCCCCAAAGTAGCTCCAAGTCACGCACTAGGGTTTAGGGTTTAGGGTTTAGGGTTTAGGGTTTAGGGTTTAGGGTGTAGTTCGGGCTCCCGCATCCATGGGCTTCAGCGTTTCGGGTTGCAAAACCCTAAACCCTAACCTTGGGATGCTCCCCCTTACAAACTCGCAGTCCTTAATAGGGATTATAGTAGCCCCTGTAGTATAGTCCCTATGAAGGACTGCAAGTATAAAGGGGGAACAACCCTAAACCCTAAACCCTAAACCCTAAACCCTAAACCCTAAACCCTAAACCCTAAACCCCCCCAAGTTATGGGGGGCGCAGGTGGGTCGAAGCATGGACCGATGGGAGGCGCAGGCGGAGCCCACTTTGCGGGAGACGCTGCGACTCGGCTGCGCGCTTCTTAAACCCTTAGGGTTTAGGGTTTAGGGTTTGGGGTTTGGGGTTTAGGGTTTAGGGTTTAGGGTTTGGGCTCCAAATAGCCCAAAGTTAATACTGTTTATAGACTTTAGACCCCAGTGTAGGCATCATTTGTATACTTGGAGCTCTGGGGATAGGGTGGTTGAGGGTGGAACTTGCCTGCAGCGCCCCAATTGTTGTTTCTTTTCGGGGTATTAAAATGCGAGTAAAGTCCCCAAAAAAAGAGAATCGTGTGGCTGGGGGTCTCGGTAACGGGTATAGGGTTTAGGGTTTAGGGTTTAGGGTTTAGGGTTTAGGGTTTAGGGTTTAGGGTTACACCCTAAGCCCTAAACCGGGGACGATCAGATTAGCATCCTTCAGCTGGGAGCTTGCTAAAGGACTCGAAGACCCCGCGAAGCCCGAAGAGGTACCTGCTCCGGGGTTTTCAATACTTTGTTGGCGTGGGCTTGAGGTTGGGTTTAGGGTCTAGGGTTTAGGGTTGAGGGTTGAGGGTTTAGGGTTTAGGGTTTAGGGTGGAGTCTTCGAGCTCTATGAATGGTTGTACAAGACGGCGAACATGGGGCTTGGGCTGTCGACCTGAAAACCACAACGAACAAAACAGTTGGGGCCCGAATTGGGGTTAGAGACCCCGCGCCGCTTGGAAAACCCCTTTCAGGGTTCCCTGAAACCTGCAAGGCATGTAAGCACTAAACCCTAAACCCCTAAATCCTAACCCCTTTCCCGGTTCACTGAGCCCCCAAAGGTCTGTAAAATGGGTGCTTCAAAAACAATGTAGTAGACCGGCCTAGGGCCTAATGTTTTTTCGGCACCTGCCAGCGTGTGAATTTCACCCAAAACCCTAAACCCTAAACCCTAAACCCTAAACCCTAAACCAAGCTGTTCTGTCCCGGAGCTTTGTAGCTTCGGAGATCGGGTTGCAGAAATGGCTGAAGGCTTGAACAAGCCTTCGCAGGGTTGAATAGGTGGTGTTACCAAAATACTCTAATCCTTACCATGGCAACCCCCTCAACAAAAAGGCTACAAGACCCCAGTTTCGGAAAACCCCCATGTCTTGACTACAAATCTCCTAACCCAAAACCCTAAAATGGGCTTGACTTGTTTTGGTGATGCGAGCCTGGTGGATCTCTGAGTCTTGAGTTGGTGTTTGGAGGAGGGGCTTATCGTGGGTGTTCATGGCGGGATGGCTGCCAGGCATGGTGTCGGCGCTGACATGATGAAACCTGTTTTTTGTCGACAATGTACCAGACTAGTGCCCCGTTGTGTGTCGGAGAGGTCAGCGAGGCAGGTGGCAAAAAAAAAAAACCTAAACCCGTAACTCTGAACCCTAAAACATAAAGAGTAACCCTAAACCCTATACCCTGAACCCTAAACCCTAAACCCTAAACCCTAAACCCTAAACCCTGAACTTCGGTTTAAGGCTTCCATGCGGACGCTCCTCCCAGGCGCGACCTGGTGGAAAAAGTGTCCGCGATCATCCTCGAGGCTTGGGCCTCTGGCTGTGTTTAGGGTTTAGGGTTTAGGGTTTAGGGTTTAGGGTTTAGGGTTTAGGGTTTAGGGTTTAGGGTTTAGGGTTTAGGGCTAGGGTTTAGGGTTTAGGGTTTAGGGTTTAGGGTTTAGGGTTTAGGGTTTAGGGTTTAGGGTTTAGGGTTTAGGGTTTAGCGTATGGGGCGTCTTGGCCAGCAGTAAGCTGCTGAAGCTTCAGAGGCGACCGACTACAGGCGAGGTACGAAGCCTGTTGCAAAAGGGTTTAGAGTTTAGGGCTTAGGGTTTGTTCGAATCCGGCTGAGCCTGGAGTCAAAAAACGGGCTTAGGGTTTAGGGTTTTCAGAGGGTTCAGGTGCTAACGAATTACGTCGTTTGCCGTATCTCCTCAGTAGTGGAATGCACAGCTACTAGTTGCAAATGGCCCGGAGATGGGCGCCGAGTCCGGATGCAAAGGAAGGGTTTAGGAGCTAGTTGGCGGCTCCCGGAATGGGGGGACTTAGGATAGAATTAAGAGCAACGATTCTGCTTACAGCTTATTATGCCCTTCCGTTTGGGATATTTAGAACCTGCTTCAAACCAAAGACCAAAAAGTCCGAGAGATGTTTTGGGGCTCGGGGATGCTCATGGATTGCAACTGCAAGGAGCACAAGATCTCTGACGTTCAGGGCTTAGGCTTAAGGGTGAAGCCCACCAAGAGCCCTTAAACCAAACCCCCTAGGCCTTAATAGCCCATTATACTTACTTACCCCCTAAACCCTAAACGCTAGACCCTAAACCCTGATCCTAAACCCTGAACCCTAAACCCTAAATCTTGAGAGGTGGCACCCGAGCTGGAGGCGAAGGAGTTGGCGAAGAGCTGCTGGGCACTGGCCAAGCTGAGCCTCAACGACGCGCCCATCATGGACAGTTTTGTGTGCGTTGAGGGCTTGGGGTTTAGGGTTTCAAGATTTTGGGTTAGGGCTTCTAGGGTCCAGGGTTGTTAGCCTCAGAGGGCTTATAGGACCCCCTGTAGGGTCTAGCGGGGGATGTTCTAGATCGGACCTGTTTCGTGGTGAATCCCTTTTACATGTCTACTGCACGAAATGACCTACGAAGGACCTCTTAAACCCGAAGCGCCAATGAGTTTCAGAGTGCACCCTGAACACTAATTCCTAACCCCTAAACTTGTTGTAAGCGTTGAGGGTTCCTCCTCGGGGGCCGAGCTTTCGCAACAATCGCTTCGTCGGAGAATGGCCCATGTTGAATGCAGGGCTTTGAGCTCTCCTCTCTCTCTCTGTCTCCTTTCACAAACCCTAAACCTAAACCCTTCTGCTCTCCCCTCTGTTCGCTCTTCTCTCTCCTCTCTCCTATATAGGTCCTAGCTCGACCAGCTGACCCTCTCGATTCTCCAGTGCACCCCGTTGGTGCTTCAAGGCTCTCCGAACCTGCGGGGCTTTAAGGCACTCCCGCTTTAAGGGAACTATGAATGATCACTCTCTAAATAAGTAAATATAAATATATATATATGTACCTACATATGTATATATATAGAAATATATGTCTACATATATATAGGGTTATGGATTTAGGGTTGAGGATTCAGGGCTCTAGGCCCGCAGGGTTTAGCTTAGTTGTGGAGTTGGTAACCTTTAACCTTTTGGTTGTTAGCCAGTCTCGCGCCTGATGCCGGGGACTCGCTTGTGACCTTGTTGGGGTAATATAATTCGCTTCTAATCCCAAAGGTGAACCTTTAATTCCCCTAGGTACTGGACAGCTAGGTTAGTTGGCAAGGACATCATTGCCGACCAGCTGGCCCAGAGGGCTGGCGAGCTCGATGGCCATGGGCTTTCCAATACTGTGTGGGGCTTCGCAACAGCTCGCGCAGGTGCTGCGGGACGAGGTTGCTGTTAGGGATACCGCAATATGGACATTATGAAACCTAAATCCTCCACGTACGGCTTTCTGTTGCACTTTGCATTGCGACCTACAGTCTGTTGCATTCCGCCATGGGCGTGGAGCAGGACTCTAAACCCTAAACCTAAGTGGGTTTAGGATTTGGGCCAGGGTCCGACCCCATGAGTGAGGTGACACGAGGCTGGTAGAGGCCATTGCGAAGGAGGCCATGCTGCGTGCGAAGGACTTTGGTCCGCAAGGGCTTTCGAACAGCGCTTGGGCTTTTGCCAAGCGGCCCGGCAGCATGGTGTATAAGCTGTCCAGACTCGCGCCACTAAGCGATAACCACCCGAAACCCTAAACCGTATAAAGAAACACACTAAGTCCTCTACCCCCCAGCCCTACTAGCCCCTACCCCCACCGCGTCAAGGCTGGCATACCACGCTCCGTTGCTTTTCCAGAGCCTGGCGGAGCAGGCACTCCTCCGCGTGGCGGATTTCGATCCGCAAGGCCTCGCCAACATGACCTGGGCCTTTGCAGCTCGGGCTGAGTGTTGGGCTTGGGGTTTACTACTATTCAGAGCCACGCAAAACATAACAATAATGATCCCTACATTGCCCTTATAAACGGGGGGGGGTTTTCTTAAGCAAATATTTGTTTAGGGCTTGGGTTTTCGGGTAAGTGAAAAATGTCGGAGACGGAGTGGGGGTCAGCGTAGTTGCACATAGCTGGACAATATTTTTGAGTTTACTTCAGGAGTATCAAGCAAGAGACCAAACAAATGCCAAGATGACCCCGCTGTAATCCTTATGTGACAGGTATAACATGAACTACCCAAACTTCCCTTCAGAAAGCCCAAAGCTTTTGTCAAAGGCAACCCTGGCGTGCAAACATGTCCAGTTTACTGACGTCGTTGCTCGCGAGCTGCTGACGGGCATCTCTCGATGGTCTGCGCAAAACATCGGAAACACTGCCTGGTCCTTTGCCAAGCTCAAGGTGTATCTTTACAGTTCTTGCAACATTTTTGTTGTTCGGTTTTCTATGATCGCAGAACTTGAGAAGGCCTGGAGCTTGTACCTTCCTGGGTTTAGGGTTTAGGGTTTAGGGTTTAGGGTTTAGGGTTTAGGGTTTAGGGTTTAGGGTTTAGGGTTTAGGGTTTACCAAGAACAGCATAGGCATCACCCGGAGGTGTACGCCGCCATTTCCGCCGAGGTCCTTCACACCCTGACAGCTTGGAATGCCCAGGGCCTTTCCAACGTGGCCCTTGACATGATGTTTAAGCATCATCTGGAGTACTTTGAGATGCTCTAGAAAGCGCTTAGATTCTTAGATCTGAGATCCCAAGGGTTTCGGGTTTAGGTAGGGTCTAGGGTTTAGGGTTTAGGGTTTAGGGTTTAGGGTTTAGGGTTTAGGGTTTAGGGTCTAGGGTTTAGGGTTTAGGGTTTAGGGTTTAGGGTTTAGGGTTTAGGGTTTAGGGTTTAGGGTTTAGGGTTTAGGGTTTAGGTCTAGAGTCAGCTAAGGTGTGGGCTTTTGCTAAGTTGGAGATCCAGCATCGGCCCTTCTTCGGCGCGCTGGCCGTCGAGATCACCGCCAAGGTAAAGTATTTCCAGCAGCAGAACCTGGTGAACGTCCTCTGGGTCTCTTGCCTGCGTAGCACTGCAGAGCACCGCACTAGGGTTTAGGGTTTAGGGTTTTGGGGTTTTGGGGTTTTGGGGTTTAGGGTTTAGGGTTTAGGGTCTTAGGGTTTCAGGGTTTCAGGGTCTCGCACTACTCATTTTCAGAGCCTCCGAGCCTCATTCTGCGAGAATAGAGACCCCAAGACGGCCGGATAGCTTCAATCACCAAATGCCATGAACCATGCGAACTCTTCAATGGTAACCCAGGCCTATGCGAAAGTTCACCAGCAAGAAGCACAGCTTTTCACGGCCGCCGCTGCGAGTGTGCCGGGGGCTTCATTCTCACACCATAGCTTCTTGCGCGGGTACTAGGTCTAAGGGTTCTGAAGTATGTGCCCTGGGGTTGTATAGGTCGTAAATAAGTGAATAAATAAGTAAGTAAATACACAAATAAGAAAATATATAAAAATGAATATATATATATAAGTATGAAAATGAATGTGAATATATATATATATATATACATATATATATGCAGCAAAGTAAAACTGATCGCACCTTTTTTTGCGCGTCGCTTCTAGGAGACTGAGGTGTGCCTCCAGGCCGGCAGCTTCAATCCACAGCACTGCTCCAACACGTTCTGGGCCTTCGCCTGCCTGCGGCTCGGCCCGCGGGTTTAGGGTTTAGGGTTTAGGGTTTAGGGTTTAGGGTTTAGGGTTTAGGGTTTAGGGTTTAGGGTTTAGGGTTTAGGGTTTAGGGTTTAGGGCAGTCACCTTGTAGGATGGAGCCACACCTTGATAGACAGTGCTAAGACATATCTGAGCACGCGAAGGCGTTTCACAGTTTGCAAAAAAAGTGTCCTTGAAGGTGCACACATGCATCAACGAATTCAATAATACTCGATGAACCTTTTCCCGACCCCCCCCCCCCCAACCCCACCGGGGCTTGCCTCGAGTCTTGCACTTGAGCTCAGGGTTTGCCCATGTTCGTGTCTTTAGGTGGGCGTGCCCTTGTTCCCTTAAGAAACCTCCCATTCAAACCTCAAAACATTCTAGTTTTCTGCAAAACTGAGGGGTAAAGCCTGAACCCCAGCATTCCAGGATGCTCCAGGCTCAGCCTGCTCTGGCGGCTGTGTCGCAGCGAATTCAGCAGGACCACAGGAGCCTACAGTTTCAAGTTCTCAGTTTTTACACCCAACCCAAAGGCTCCTATGTAGTACCTTTTTGGGGTAGTATACTAAGATCCCCTATACCAAACCCAAAAAGGAACTACTAAGGAGCCTTTGGGTAGATCCTAAATCCTCCTCTAGCTGCTCCGGGGGGAACTACGGGGCGAGCCCAGCGCCCTGCAAACCCTAAACGCCCTTGCCCTTTTTAATTCTGGGTCGCCTGGGCCTAGACCCTAAGCATATGGTTACTGGGCTACAAAGGAAGTGTTGAGGAACTCATGGTTGAGATGGCCCCCACAGGGTTTAGGGTTTCGGGGTTTAGGGATTTAGGGTTAGGGATGATCTAGGGATTTAGGGATGTAGGGTTCAAGACATAGGGTTTAGGGTTTAGGGCTTAGGGCTTAGGGTTTAGGGATGTAGGGTTTAGGGTTTAGGGACTTAGGGACTTAGGGACTTAGGGGGTTTGGGGATGTAGGGTTTAGGCCCTCCACCGTCCGAAAGGAGCTCGCAAGCGCAAGATGTGGCCAATGTCCTCTGGGCCTGCACCCGCCTGGCGTACAAGGCTTCAGGGGATGTAGGGAGGGACCCCTAGGGTTTAGGGTTTTTTAGGGTTTAGGGTTTAGGGTTTAGGGTTTAGGGTTTAGGGTTTAGGGTTTAGGGTTTAGGGTTTAGGGTTTAGAGACCCTTATTCTTATTCCCTTATAGAACCTCTGAGTCGCAACAGACCTAGTTAGGCCTTACATCGCCCTTGAGAGGATCCATGTGGGTAAATCTCTGCAAACCCTAAACCCTAAACCCTAAACCCTAACCCCTAATTGGGGTCCCTTTTGGGGGAGGTCTTTGTATCAGGTGTCGTATTATAGAGGGATCCCCAGAATGGACCCTAATCTAGAGAACTACCCGCGTGCTATTCTTGGAGTTGACATGGAGTTTGAGGGTTTAGGGCTTAGAGCTCTTGGAGGGCCTAGGGACTGTAGTCAACAATCCGGAGTGCAGGGTTCAGGACTTAGGGTCAAAACCCCTGCCTTAGCCTGCCATTCCATCAAAGGCTTTTACCTCCCCGCAACATGAAAAACTTCAACGCCACCTGTCCGCGCTACGACCCTTTGAGAGAACTGTGTTAGGGACACAGGGTTTAGGGTTGAGGGTTTAGGGTTTAGGGTTTAGGGTTTAGGAAGCCTGCGTAAAAAGAGTTTAGGAAGCAAACTCCATATAAGTCCATGTGATGAACCGGTATTCAAAGTGTCGCAGGATCCTGGTCTTCTGGAGGTCCTCTTGGTCGAGGCCGCTTGGAGTGTAGGGTTTAGGGCTTAGGGTTTAGGGATTAGGGTTTAGGGTTTAGGGTTTTAGGGTTTAGGGTGTAGGGTTTGGGGTTTAGGGTTTAGGTTTAGGGTTTAGGGTTTAGGGTACACAGGGCGGATTTGGGGTCAGTGGGCTGCTCCAAACTCTGACTCTAAAGCCTAAAGCCTTCGACGAGATTCAGGGCGCACACACACACACATGCACATACACATAAATACATATATATATATATATGTAGATAGATATAGATACAGATACATACATACATATATATATATATATATTATGCCTAAACCTCTAACCCCACGCCCTGGGCACTCTTTCCTGTAGTCCTGCAGCCCCCGGGATCCTTGCGAGAAAAGCTGGCCCTCCGCAACCCGGAGCCCTGCACGCTGAACCCTAGGGTTGTTTGGGGCTCCGGGTCCTGAACCCCAAACCACCCGAATCCTTAACCCTAAACCCTGAACCCTAAACCCTAAACCCTAAACCCTAAACCCTACCATCAGGCAAGGAGGAAGGCTGGCACGTTCCAGCCCCAGAATCTATCCATCTCGGCTTTCTCGCTGGCGCAGCTCCGCGTCAGTGACCGGGCCACCCTGAGACTTGTCTTGAAGGGTTTGGGGCTTCGGGCGCAGGGCGTAGGGCGTAGGGCTTAGGCTAAACCCTAACCTGAACCCCAAAACCTTCAGAACTCAACGGTTGCAGTTTTCCCAGCCCCCTAAATTTAAGAGCGGTTTGGTGGATTGGGTTTGCGGTTCGGGTCTGGGTGGGGGGGTGGGGGGGGAGGGCGGGGGGCAGGGTGGGGGTGGGGGGGGAAGGGGTCTTTTAAAAGAGCCCCTATGCCCTGTGCGAAACCGCCTATGGTCCATGAGTTTACGCGGCGTGGGTGGCCTGTTCCTCCACGGAAAAGCTGCCGGGGCACCCGCCTGCGTGGGGGGTAAGGCAGGAAAGAGGGAGGTTTTCATCTAAACCCCAAACCCTAAACCCCAGACCCTACACGCCCTAAACCCCAAACCCCAAACCCCAAAACCAGGAGCCAGCTCTTGGAGAACGCCGCTCTGCGTGCAGGCCGGAGGACTCAAGGAGTTGGGGGCTTTCGGTTCCAGGACTTCAGTGCTTTATTGGGGGTTTAGGGTTTAGGGTTTAGGGTTTAGGGTTTAGGGGTTTAGGGGTTTAGGGGTTTAGGGGTTTAGGGTTTAGGGTTCAGGGTTTAGGGTTTGAGGCTTGGGGTTTAGGGTTTAGGGGTTGAGGCTTTAGGGGTTTATATAGGTTTTCGGGTTTCAGGGTATAGGCTATCCCGAAACTTTGAACCTTTTAGCTTTGTTGCAAAAAAGAGTTAGCGCAGAGGGCGTGTTTTGAGATGCTAGGGTACAGTCGCTCAGTTTCAGATACATCATAGATTTATGTACGAATGCATAGACACATACTTCAACTCTCAACCTCGGCTAAATCCGCGTATGCTGCTGACATGCCCGAAGGCCACAAACACAAGCAGAAACAACAGCAACCTCCTTGAAGGCAAACACACACACAATCAAATCTTCAAACTCTTAGGAGCTGAATGAGTACACCTTACACTTTTGGGGATGCTATAATAATCCCGTATAGAACTGAAAGTGTACACTTATTTTGGGGCTATGAACTCAGCAACTAAGGACCTAAGCCTTAAACCCCTCAACATTCCAAAGCGGAACCAGCAGCAAGGTAGCTTCGACGGCCAAGGGTTGGCTAATCTCGGCCAAGCCATGGCAAAGATACCTTGCCGCCTTTTGTTCGGGCGTTTGTGGTTTGTGGTTTGTGGTTTAGGGTTTAAGGTTTAGGGTTTAGGGATTAGCGTTTAGGGGTATCAGCATCTAACTTTCGAGGTTGTATGGGTTGAGACTTGAAGAACCTAGAACCCGTAAACCCAGCTTCAGCGTTCAGTTCAGGGAGTGGGTTTAGATGGGTTAAGGGTGTACAAGTAGGGCCTAGAGACACACACACACACACACTTACCCATGATGTGTCTGTTGGTTTTGTCGGAGAGAGTGCTCAGCTATTGTTGTCGAGATGCTATTTGGACTAAGGACCCAGGTAGTCCATGATGGGCTCCTGCACGTGCTGGTGTCGGAGTCGCGGGGGTGCCCATGGAAGTTCTCACCCCAGGAGCAATCGATTCTGGCGTGGGCTTTCTCTGCCCTGACAGTTGGCTTGCAGGAGGATGAAAAAAGGAGCTCCACACAGACGTCATGCTGAAGCTTAGTGTCTAAGTGTTGGCATTCTCCGTATGCCAACTGTAAACCCCAAATGCTTCCTTCTTCCTCTCTCAAGGTTACCAGCTCTGCAAGCTGAATAGAGTTCTTGCACTCGAGTCCTCGTCCTGCTAAGCTGCTAAGCCACGTGCTTTCTCTGAAGAGAAGCCAAACCAGTGGCCTGTTTATGGTCTTCCCCATCTTTCAAAACTGACCCTGCCTACCCACTTTCGGTACTCCGAACCAAACTCGGAACACCACTCTCGACCGAGCCTGCAGGCGGGTTTAGGGTTTAGGGTTTAGGGTTTAGGGTTTAGGGTTGAGGGTTTAGGGTTCGGGAACGCAAGCAACAGAACAAAGACCCTCCCACATGGGCTGTCCTCTTTCGGCAGATTCAGCCATTCCCGTCAAAGTTGGTAGGTCATAAAGGCCGAGCTCAGAGAGCCTCCCATTAATATTAAGGAGGGTTTAGGGTTTAGGGTTTAGGGTTTAGGGGTTAGGGGTTAGGGGTTAGGGTTTAGGGTTCAGGGTTCGGGTTTAGGGTTTAGGGTTTAGGGTTTAGGGTTTAGGGTTTAGGGTTTAGGGTTTAGGGTTTAGGGTTTAGGGGGCTCTGTACTGGTTCTTTATCACTAGCTCTTGAATATACTATTCATGGGCCCGTAAATAGTATTATGGGGCTTTACACACGTGAACTCGCAACCCCCCCCCCCCCCCCCCAAATCATGAATGGGGCACGCTCCCTTCGCTCACCCGCTCACACAGTAAGTTGATGAGTTTACTTAGTTCCCAAGAGAGTAGAACTCATGATCTCCTACTAAGATTATTGCTGTCACACCTTGATACCCTGTCAATGCCTGGTCTGGATCACGCTCGTGCTGCGGGCTTGTTATAAATGTGCTACAATCTTGTGAACACGTGAACAGCTTGATGATGAGGATCTTAGTACTAGAGTATGTTTACTATGAGTGAAGAAGCACAGCGAACAAGATTGTAAGGGTTTAGGGTTTAGTCGAGCGGGTTTAAGGGCCACCCGGGAAGTAGGCACTTAGAGAACGTGAGGGAAGCTTCGGGAGCCTCAGGGAACAGTGGGGAGTATTCGGGAACCTGGGGCAAATACCCCCCTTCAGCCCGAAACGCCCCCCTTGAACCCCCCTCCCTTAAGAACCCTATGGGTTAGGGTTTCGGGTTTGGGTTTAGGGTTTAGGGTTTAGGGTTTAGGGTTTAGGGTTTAGGGTTTAGGGTTTAGGGTTTAGGGTTTAGGGTTTAGGGTTTAGGGTTTAGGGTTTAGGGTTTAGGGTTTAGGGTCTATAGCTTTGTGGGCCGAGGCAAGGAGGTTTGCCTTCAGCCATTGGAACTACAAGCTCAAGCTTGCGCCTTGCTAGCTCAGACGGGCTTGGGGTTTAGGGTTTAGGGTTTAGGGTTCATGGTTCAGGGTTTAGGGTTTAGGGTTCAGGATTTAGGGTTTAGGGTGTAGGGTTTAGGGCCCTAGAGTGACACACAGACCTATGATCCAAGTAAACCTCAGCTCAAGGACTGCCCCGGCGCATAAGCCCTCAACTCGGAGTTCTGAACCGCCCTTAGGGTTCAGGGTTTAGGGTTTAGGGTTTAGGGTTTCCTAAGGTTCCGCGCACACCACCACGCGGGACGTGTGTTGTGGTGTGCGCCCAGGTTCAACGCACTCTCCCAACCCACCCACCCACATCTCAACCTTGGGCGGGTTTAGGGTTTTATAATATCGTGTGTAAGTACAGTAGTGGGAGGGGGCGCTACGGGCCGCCTTTGACCAAATCCTGGGGCACCCCCCGCGAAGGTCTCTCTGTCCCCCCAAGATCCATAGGTTTGTTTGGCGGGCTTAGGTTTTTTTTTGCCCGGTGTTTCCAAATTATGATGCTTATACCGGGCTTACAAGACCCATAGGTCTATGCCTTGGGCTCCCTTTGGTTTTTGGTCCTGCGACTGTCCTGGGACCTCATGAAGTTTGGGAGGCCTGGCCGAAGGAGGCTTCCTGAAAAGATTTCCTGGTTCAGAAATGGTCCGGGCCTAGCCCAAAAAAAGGCCCAGAAATGGTCCGGGAGGAGCCCAAAAAGGCCCAGAAACGGTCCGGGAGAAGCCCAAAAAGGGTCCGGGCGGAGCCCAGAAATTGTCCGAGAGGAGCCCAAAAAAAGGCTCAGAAATGGTCCGGCTCGTAGAAGCTCAGAAATGGTCCGGGAGGAGCCGTACTCGGCGGGGGTGCTCTCGCGGGGTGCTCTGGTGGGGGTGCTCTGGTGGAGGGGGGGCTCTAGTGGGTGCTCTGGTGGGGGTGCTCTGGCGGGGGTCCGGAGGAACCCAAAAAGGCGCAGAAATGGTCCGAGGAGCGTCAGAAACTGTCTGGGATGAGGAGGCCCTGCCCCAGGATTTGGCCGGACCCGTAGTGAAAATGCGATTTTTTAGTACTGAAAAACGATGGTTTTGGGTGACCCTCCGTTTTCCAAAAAAATCTAAATCCTAACTGAACTGGCGGGATGCTCTGGCGAGGGTGCTCTGGCGGGGGTGCTCTGGCGGGGGTGCTCTGGCGGGGGTGCTCTGGTGGGGGTGCTCTGGCGGGGGTCACTCTAAAGGCCCTGCCCCAGGATTTGGCAGGACCCGTAGTAAAAATGCGATTTTTTAGTATTGAAAAACGATGGTTTTGGGTGACCCTCCATTTTCCAAAAAAATCTAAATCCTAACTGAACTGGCGGGATGCTCTGGCGGGGGTGCTCTGGCGGGGCTGCTCTGGTGGGGGTGCTCTGGCGGGGGTCACTCTAAAGGCCCTGCCCCAGGATTTGGCAGGACCCGTAGTAAAAATGCGATTTTTTAGTATTGAAAAACGATGGTTTTGGGTAACCCTCCGTTTACGGGGAAGGCCCCTTACGGGGAAGGCCCCTTACGGGGAAGGCCCCTTACGGGGAAGGCCCGTTACGGGGAAGGCCTTTTACGGGGAAGGCCCTTACGGGGAAGGCCCCTTACGGGGAAGGCCCCTTACGGGGAAGGCCCCCTTACGGGGGAAGGCCCCTTACGGGGAAGGCCCCTTTACGGGGAAGGCCCCTTACGGGGAAGGCCCCTTACGGCGGCGGGATGCTGTGGCGGGGGTGCTCTGGCGGGGGTCACTCTAAAGGCCCTGCCCCAGGATTTGGCGGGACCCGTAGTAAAAATGCGATTTTTTAGTATTGAAAACGATGGTTTTGGGTGACCCTCCGTTTTGCTCCTTACGGGGAAGGCCCCTTACGGGGAAGGCCCCTTACGGGGAAGGCCCCTTACGGGGAAGGCCCCTTACGGGGAAGGCCCCTTACGGGGAAGGTTACGGGGAAGGCCCCTTATGGGGAAGGCCCCTTACGGAGAAGGCCCCTTACAGGGAGGGGAAGGCCCCTTACGGGGAAGGCCCCTTACGGGGAAGGCCCCTTACGGGGAAGGCCCCTTACGGGGAAGGCCCCTTACGGGGAAGGCCCCTTACGGGGAAGGCCCCTTACGGGGAAGGCCCCTCACGGGGAAGGCCCCTTACGGGGAAGGCCCCTTACGCAGAAGGCCCGTTACGGAAAAGGCCCCTTACGGGGAAGGCCCCTTACGCGGAAGGCCCCTTACGGGGAAGGCCCCTTACGGGGAAGGCCCCTTACGGGGAAGGATGCGTGGTTTTAACTTTAAAACCGAGGGTTTAGGGTTATTCTCTTTGGGGCCAGACTGACGCTGGCACGCGGGTTCCACCCTTCTATGCGTGGGCCGCGCTCATCGCGCGCACTGGCCCCGAGCCCTCGCCAGGCTTCGCCGGACGGCTCGGGCTCGTCCGCGGGCTGGCGCCACGCGGTATCGCTCGCTGCTGCTTATCGCAGGACCCGCAGCTCGCTCTAGTTTAGGGTTTAGGGTTTGTAGTTCTGTTGCCAGTGAGTTCAGTTCTGTGTCTTGCCTTGTCCGGAGAACGGGTGGGACACTTCAGGGCGGACACGCAGCAGCCTGTTGCAGTAAAGGGTTCAGGGTTCAGGGTTTCGGGTTCAGGGTCATGAGAGTCTTTCAGGTTCGAGGAGTTTTTGGGTGGGGTGAGGGATTCGATAGGGTGTGGGGGGGCCTTGGGGGGGCACACCCTAGACCCCGTCAAACGGCCGCAGCATCTAAGGACAAGAAGCTGCATCTTGGGCTGCACCGTTGTAGGCGAGGTAGGATTTTGATTGAGGGAACGCGTGTTTGAAGCATCGCACGCTTAACCTATGCTGCTAGGACTGCCAGGACGCCTGAAAATACATACCATTTTTTTCTGGCTCGTTTGGAAGAAACCTGTCTTGCACGCTCGAAAATGATATTGTTAGGGAGCTGTACGCTGGGTTTTTGGATCCACACACTTACACTTGGCAGTTGCTGCAAAGCCGCCTGGGCTTGGGATCTGCGACTTTTGTTTTCATGGGTTTTCACAGGATCTCACGGATGCCTAAATGAGACCCTAAACCCTAAATCCTAAACCGAAACCCTAGGCCCCAATTGCATTGATGGCCTTCGCCCACCCCTTCGAAGTCGAACCCCTTAGGTTTTTTTTGGGGATCAGAGCTGGGCCCTGCCCTTATATACCCCCAAACCCTAAACATTAAACCCTAAACCCCAAACCCTACTTCTTGTGGGGACCTCCCTTCCGAAGTTGTTCTTTATCTGGCTTCCACCGCACTCAGGGACATCTTCAAGAAAGTTCGGGAGGAGGAGCGCTCGGGTTGAATGCAGATGCAACACAGATTGAAAAGCAATCGGACAATGAATCTAGCAATGTAGCTCTAAACCCTAAACCCCCATGAAGACCTTCGATTTAAGCCTCTAAGAACCCCCAACCCCCAATGCCCACCCCCCGCCCACCCCCTCCAAAATATAACAAAAACAAACAAACCCTAAACCCCCTAAAGCCCTCCTAAGCCCTGAACTGGGGATGTTAGCCCCGTCGCGCTTCCTGGGCCGACTTTCCTAATGGACTTCGCTGCTCTATGAGGCTCATATTCCCGTGCTTCGAGGGACTAAAGGAGGGACCCTTTTAACGGACCTTCGGGCCAGTGGGAAGGACTAGGTTTCTAGGTTTACGTGGCACGCCACCCCCCCACCCCCCCTTTGCATCCTCGGCATGCCAGTCCCGAGACCGGCCACGCGTCCTACCCTTGCGCCCTGTGGTGCGCACTCCTTAGGGTGTAGGGTTTAGGGTTTAGGGTTTGACTACTCTCGAAACCTTCAAAATGGTTCTATAACCCTCAGCAAGCTCCAACGAGAGAATGGCCAGGAGGGCACCGGCCTCCCGCTGGGTCTTCAACGACTCATGTGCCGCTTTGCTTCGCATTGACACGTTCGGCAGGAAGAGAACGCAGTGGGGCGAGGGCTTCGAAGTCAGATGTTTTCTTTAGACATGTATCTGCGGGTGTATGTATGTATATATATATATATAAAGAGAGAGAGAGAGAGAGAGCGAGCGAGAGTTTCTATACGAATATATAAGACTTGCCTTCATGCGGCTTGGACCCTTCTTCTGGCTACCGTGGTGGAGGCAATCTCTCACCGCGAGTGTCCTCCCGAACTATGTAGCCTATGTAGCCTGCCATGGCTCAGCCATAATAAGGCAACAGCATGTAGAGACGTCTGACACTTCATAGAGGCCGATGGCCTTGAACCGTAATCTCCGATCCCGAATCGCCTGGCAGCCTGAGGCTTCACCTTGGGACGGCATGCATGGATCAATTGGGTGGCCCGGCCGACCATTCGTCGGGTTTAGCAAAAGGGGGGTTTTAGGGCTGAGAAGGTTTGGAGCGTCAGCGTTGTGGCATGTCCGGACCTCGGTAAGAGGCTCAGGGCACCCCATAACCCTTTCCGGGAGCCAAAAGTGCCTCGGGCAACCTCATCAAAAGTCGCGTGGTTGAAGATTAGACATATGAGGAGACCGAAAATCTACACAGCGAGTTTACCCAATTTCAACTAGACTATATACAGTATGGGCGTCAATCTGCAAAAGCCCAATGAAATGGCCCTCATTGCTTGGCGTCAGGCGGTGAAGTTTTCGGGTCATTTAGGGATGTCTTGGCGATTTAGGAGATTCTTGCCTACTCACACGTAGGGCTTTTGGGGTTGCAGGTACACCCTGCCTACACTCAAAACCCTATGCCCGATACCCTAAACCCTAAACCCTAGACCCTTTAACTGAGGTCATGCCGTGGGCGCAAGACGTCCTGGCGAAGCAGCTTGGATTTTGCCTGGCGTTTCTCCTTCACCCAAGAGCCCTAAATGGAGGGTTTAGGGTTTGTTTAGGGTTTAGGGTTTAGGGTCTAGGGTTTCTGCTGTTCAGGGTGGTGTGCAGAGAGGCAGTGAGGTTTGCAAATTTTGGTCTGCCTGTCGGTTTTGAAAGGGTAGATGACACTCTCAGGTTGCTGATGCCTCTCATTGGCGGGAGGCTTAAGCCTTAGCAGCCCTAAACCCTAAACCCTACACTCTACACCCTAAACCCTAAACCCTAATTACACCCTAAACCCTAACTCACATGGTAGAGCATTTGGGTTGTGGAGTCGTGGTCCTCTGTAGCAACAGCGAGCCTCTCTTACACCTTCGGCCGTTAAGGGTTAAAGCGTGTGGCTGAGGGAATTCCAAACCCATTCCTCGACTTTCTAGCAACATGACTTGCAAGGTTCGCATCGCACACGATCGCGAACGCGATGAGCCAGACATCAAGCAAAACACCCTGACGCCGAACCAGATGCCTAGGCTGGGCGATCCATACGTACGTCTTTTCCGGCAGGGCGGCCAGAGACCGAACGAAGTGGCAAGGACGGGGTTTAGAGTTTACGATTCGGTGTTCAGCTTGAAGGTTTCGACCAGGTCAGATGTTGTAGAGGGGGGAGGAGGGGGGCGGGGGCACAGGGTGGAAGAGTCCCACTAGCATTGTTATTTGGTAGCTTTCTGGCATAGGGGAGGACGGGGGGGGGGGGGGGGGTGCTGTCTTGTAGATAAATAGTTCAAGCCTTGGCTGATTTGTCTCAAGCCCCTGGGCGCAACCATGCGTAACGGTAAAGATCGCCATGGTTTTCTGAAGAGATGACACTAACGGCGATACATACATGAATTTACACATATACACTAAACATAAATGCAAGTTCAGATGTCTGCTTGATATCAGCAGCAGCAGCAGCAGCAGCAGCAGCAGCAGCAGCAGCAGCAGCAGCAGGAGCAGGAGCAGGAGCAGGAGCAGGAGCAGGAGCAGGAGTAGGAGTAGGAGTAGGAGTCGTCGTCGTCGTCGGAGCAGCAGCAGCAGGAGGTGGTAGTAGTAGCAGTAGTAGCAGTAGTAGCAGTAGTAGCAGTTGTAGCAGCAGCAGCAGCAGCAGGAGTAGTAGTAGTAGTAGTAGTAGTAGTAGTAGTAGTAGTAGTAGTAGCAGTAGTAGTAGTAGTAGTAGTAGTAGTCGTCGTCGTCGTCGTAGTAGTAGTAGTAGTCGTAGTCGTAGTCGTCGTCGTAGTCGTCGTCGTAGTAGTCGTATTAGCAGTAGCAGTAGTACATAGAAGTAGTAGGAGGAGCAGCAGCAGTAGTAACAGCAGCACAAGCAGCAGAAGTCAGTAGCAGTAGTAGCAGCAGTAGCATCACAGATCGAAACTCCTGAACTCTAAGTGAACCTGAAGCCCTCAGATCCCTCTTGGCTTGAACCCCAAATCTTACAACCCTAACTAGGTGCCTAAGCTAGCAGGATCCTCCACAAGTACACGCCCTTCGATATGCCGCGCCTCTTGCACTGCAATCGTCTGGGCTACAGGCCCTTGTTGGGTCCGTTTAGGAGATTCGACTCGATTTGGGGATGAAGGAGGGCCCTTGCTGAAGGATCTGTGGGTGCTAATCTTGGGGCTTAGGAGAGTTTACTGCATTTGGGGGATGAGGGGGGCTTTCGTTGAAGACTTTTAATGTACAGGTCATGATAGGGCTGTAGACTCCATAGCGGTTTTAGGTCTTGCATTTCGCGAAAATGTTTGAAGAAATGAAAATAGAAGAACACATATATATATATATATATGTATATATACACACACAACATTTGCCGCCACCCCCCCTGCCCCCAAAAACAAGATATATATATATATATATGTATATATACGTAATTTTGTTCTTATTTGTATGTATGTTTATATTTATGTATATATTTATATTTATATTTATATTGATATTTATATTTAAGTTTATATTTATAGTTATATTTATATATTTATATACATCTTTATCTTTGCATTCATATTTATATTTACTTTGTATGTATTTATATATATATATGTACATATACATATATATATATATACTGCACTTAGGCATCCTGAAGCAGATAGATTTGCAAAAACATGGCCGGACCCATTGATCAAATTTTCTATTTGCGGGTGCTAGACATACCCGGAATCCGCAAGGAAGCCCATCCTAGAGACCCCCAAAGCACACTGAACACCTTGAAATCTCCTCCCTCTCCCTCCTTCAATGGACGTTTTCCCCGAGAAAATCCACCCAAACGATTTAACAGGGACGCGAGAAGGGGACCTTCCTTCCGAACACAGACTTTATGTGTTGTGCTTCAAGTTTGGAGTTGATAAAAAATGGCCTCCAGCCGCGTGCGCTCTAAGTGTTTACCTTTGTTCTGCGAAGCGAAGGCGGTGATACCTGAGCTAGGAGTCAAGGTTCTAGTAGGATTTGGGGTTAATGCGCTGGCCATTTGTTCCAAGATTTGTCGGCGTGGGTAACCATTGCGACTGCGCGGCTGGCTGAGTCTGTCCTCCCTTATCCACGATTGTCCGCGCAGAGGGCGCATCGGCCGCTTCAAGAAAGCTCTTCTTCTTGGCCCTGGAACCACCACATGTATAGTGGGTTTAGACTTTCAGGTTTGCCCTAAGCCCAGTTGCAAAAAAGGGTCCAGTTTCATGAGGCATTTCTTCACAGATCGCTAGCATTAACTCTTTCAAAGTCTGCCCGACTCTCCGATCAATGTTCTTGGTGTTTTTTGGGCGGAATGAACTCAATCAATTCGTTGGGAAGGACGCCGCACTACTAGCTGTACAATATTCTGATTATTCTTACCATTATTGCTATTTTCATTATAACACGAATGCCATTACACAACGAAGCATGGATATGCCAGCCAAGCAAGGCCATCGGAGGGGCCCACACGTTTAAAACTCCTTGAACCCTAAACCCTAAACCCTAGCCCTAAACCCTAAACACTAGCCTTGTAAACGGAGCTCGAATGGAGGATTGGGTTTATGGGATTTTAAAAAATGAAATGAACGTAAACAAAACGTAGTTCGATGATTTTGAAAAACGTAGAAAAACATGAAACAAAGTAGGAAAATCGTGCTTCCAGAAGGAAAACCACGTTTCCCTCTGTAAAGCATAGAAAGAACGTGGAAAAAAGGTAAACACATCGTGCTTCCTAAAACGTGAAAAAAGTAAACTATGTTATACCTTGTTTCCACGTTTTCTCCACATTTTCCATGTTTAGCACCTGTTTTCACAAGTTTACACCTTTTTACCACGTTTTTCCACTTTTTTCCACATGTTTGTTTCACGTTTTTCTACGTTTTCCCAAAAAGCCTATTCACGTTGATTTGACGTTCTTTTCACGTTATTTTTAAATCTAACATCCAGCACTCCTCCTTTGAATCCTGTTTACAACACAAGCCCTAAACCCCAAGCCAGCAACCGGCCCTGAACCCTCCCCAAGCCTTGGACTCTGCCCAGGTTTGCAGAAGCTAGATGCTCAGGCCGGCGTGCGGCTACCAAAATGTAGGGATGAGAGTCGCCATGGAGTAGGGTTTTGAGCTCAAGGCTCAGGGTTTTGGGTTTTGGGTTCAGCGGTTTGTGGGTGGGAGGAAATGTTGTTGAAGGTTGACTGGGGTAGGGCTGGTGTCAGTTACACTAGTTTGCATGCCGAACCCGAACTCTTCACGGAGAAGAATCTCGTTTTGGTCTTTGTCTGCGAGAATTCCTTCCGTTGTTGAAGTCGAAATACAGGACCTCGCGCAAATGGTAGTCTTAGGCGTCAACAGTTGCCAATATCATCTTCGTGCCATCCTCAAAAAGCCCTTTTTCAAGTAGCCTACCCATAGTTCCAGGTCTAGTGAAACCATAGGACCCTGAAACGGCTGCACGATGAAGGCGGATGTCGATGGATTCCTCAGTTGTTGTCTTGTATATAAGTATTCTATCTATAATATATATATATATATGTACTTATATAAGATTGTTTCTTATTTATATTTATTTATATGCAAACATTTATATTTTTACTGTGCATGTACATGCATACTTATGCTTGTATGGTTCGTTTAGGGCTTAGGGCTTAGGGCTTAGGGCTTAGGGCTTAGTGTTTAGGGTTTAGGGTTTAGGGTTGAAGCTCCGGAGCCCCTTGCGCAGAAAGTGGAGAAGCGCGACGGCAAGTCCGGGCTGCTCGGGCCGCTTCCGAAGGTCGACTTCAGCAGGTTGAGCGCCTGGGCTCAGGGTTAGGGTTTAGGGTTTAGGGTTTAGGGTTTAGGGTTTAGGGTTTAGGGTTTAGGGTTTATGGTTTAGGGTTTAGGGTTTAGGGTTTAGGGTCTAGGGTTTAGGGTCTAGGGTTTAGGGTTTAGGGTTTAGGGTTTAGGGTTTAGGGTTTAGGGTTTAGGGTTTAGGGTTTAGCGTTCAGGGTTCAGGGTTCAGGGTTCAGGGTTCAGGGTTTCGGGTTTAGGGCTACGAGGTTGTCGTATGGTTTCGCGTGTGCTTGCCTGGGTGCTTCTTGGGTGGGCTTTGAGCTTCACATGTCAGGGCAGTGGGACGACGTGACAGCAGCTTGGGATGTTCGCCCTTATACTAGCTAGTGATTAGAGTACCGCCTATTTTCCTCCCTATTGAGGATAATCCCGCTTCTACTGTTAGCTTAATTGGGATTACAATAGGGGGTATGATAAATCCCGATTAAGGACTGTTAGTATAAGGGAGAACATCCCAAGTGAAAACCATTGTTCAGGCTGGGGAAGGTTCCGTGCTGCGAGCTCTAGCAGGGTCAGGCTTTCATTGGAGGGGGTGATCCTGTTTGGCCTTTCAATAGTGGAATTGCTGCGTTGAAGGGTTCGGAGTCCTGTTTGATTTTCGGATGAAAGGGTCTGGGCTTTTGTTTGCACAACTTGGAGGTTCATGGGTACTTATACATAGGGCTAGAAGTTCCCCCCTGCATTCGTACTGCACTGGAACTCTATGAAGCAGTTGAGGGTTTAGGGCTTAGGGTTGAGGGTTTAGGGCATAGGGCTTAGGGTTTAGTAGGGTTGATTGTTTAGGGCTTAGGGTTGAGGTCTTAGGGTTTAAAACCTTGAACCTGGCCAAGGGGTGATCAGGGCCGTGACAAAGGAGGACCTGAGCACGTGTTGTCGATGCAAGGTTTCGGAGGTTGCAGAGTTCAGGCCCTAAAAAAGAATAAACTATTTGCATAAGAACCCCCCAAAATTATCTTAAAAAAAAAGGGATTTGTGGGGGCTAACCTGCTGGGTTAGAAGTATGGAACATATGCCCCCGCTCATTGCTACCCATGAACCTTCAAGTGAGGTTTCTGAGTTCAGGAATAATTTAGGGCTGAAGGCTTTCCGGCATTAAGGGCGTGTGGCGTCAGCATCAACAGGAAGATGTTCAAAGGTCTAAGACGTGAATGACGGCCCCTGGATATCACAACGGGGTGCCGAAGCTGCGGCAAGCTTACACCGAACCGAGTGCTAGAGCCCCTTAGGGATGATATGTCGCATTCGTTGTTCAGGGTTTAGGGTTTAGGGTTCAGGGTTTGTTACCCTAGGGAACGACAACAAGTGTTGCATCATGGCTCCCAGGAGAGCAGAGGGTGGTTTTCTTTGGGAGGTGCTGGGCATATAGCCCTAAACCCTAAACCCTAAACCCCAAGACCTAAACCCTAAACCCGAAATCATTCAACTTTTTTGCCACATGCCTCAGCAGGGCGTCTACAAGGATGTCACGGTCAACTTCCGCGTCAAGGCGAGAAGGTTGTTGCGGAGTCTGTGCGCTTTTTTGTGTAAGTTTCGGAAGAGGCCACGTTGTCCTACCCCAAAACCTATAAACCCTAAACCCTCAACCACAAACCCAAAACCCAAAACCCGGGGGGCCCGGGTGATTTTGGAACTGGGTTTGCAAGTAGGGCTTTGGGAATGTTGAGTTGCGTTGGGCAACTGATAAGACAGCCAATGCTTTGGGGCACCGGGAAGCCCTCGCAGAGGCCCCCCCATTAACTTGCTTAAGAACCCCCCAAAATCACAAAATAATTAGCCCTATTGCCCTTCATAAGGAAGGATTTTTTTGGTGGTTCTTCAGCGATACTTTGGGATGTTCCCCCTTATACTAACAGTCCTTCATAGGAATTATAGTAGGGGGTACTATGTTCCCTATTAAGGATTGTTAGCATCAGGGGGAACATCCCAAGCAACCCTAAACCCTAAACCCTACACCCTACACCCTAAACCCTAAACCCCAAACCCCAAACCCCAAACCCTAAACCCTGACCCCTAAACCCTAAACCCTAAACCCTAAACCCTAAACCCAAGCAAATACCAGCTAACCCCAGAATCCGCCGCCCTCCATGCAGGCTCGCGCGCAGCCCGAGGCACGCGCAGTGGAGGCCGATGATGCGGAAGAGGAGGTGGAAGGCCAGCATGAGGGTTTAGGGTTTAGTTTTGGGGTTAGGGTTTAGGGTTTAGGGTTTAGGGCTAAGGGCTTAGGGGTTAGGGGTTAGGGTTTAGGGTTTAGGGTTTAGGGCTAAGGGCTTAGGGTTTA